TTGCATTTCTGGTGAAAATGCAATATGAATACTTAATGCTGAAAGATTTTTCCTGAAAAGCTGCAGAAGAAACAGAAAAATAACTAAAAAAGTAGCTGAAAAAGCTGAAATAAACACAAAGATGCATAAAGAGCACACATTTGCTGAATTAAGCAGTAAGAAGCTGAAATGATCACAAAAAGGTTAATTTAAACGGAAAAAAACTAAAATTATAAGGGAATAGCTAGTGTAGTTTAAAATGCAGAAAACTGCTGAACTTAGCTAAAATAAGCTAATAAAGGCACAAAAATGTTTAAATTGACAGAAGAATAGCCAGAAAAGCAGATAAAAGCTTAAATTAGCAGAAATAAGTTGAAGGAAGCTGAAATTAGCTCAAAGAAGTTGAAAAAATGCAGAATCAAAGTAAAAGCTGTAAAGTGTAGTAAAGCATTATAAACATTTTGAAGGGTTTTATGGATGTTTAAGAGTACTCCATTCATTTTCAATGAGAGAAAAAAAGGCAGCAAAAACTAAAAAGCTGAAAAAATATAAATTGCTCAAATGCCAAAAGTTGTAGAAACCTTGTAGAACGAGGTACATGCCAAAAAATGAGGAGAAAAATGGATCTTCTCAATAATGTGAAGGCTTTGTACTAGGGCTGCAGACACTTGTGRTAATAGTGCTTCATCTTGTGATGACTTGAGATAAATGAACAAATACATATGTAGCATTGATATCCTGCCTGGTTTTCTGTTATAATATGAAGAGATCCATCAAATTGATCAAATACATGACGGCTCCATTTGATTGGTGAAATACTTCAGGCTTCAGTTTGAATGAAAAAACCCATAAAAGCAAACTTTGAGTCAGTCATTTATTACAGTTTATGCGATGATGATCATTTTTTGATATATTGTGCAGCCCTACTGTTGACTGTTCTTACACAAAGGAGGAGGAGCTCTTCTGTGGATGTGAAGAGGGGTGTTATAAGGAACAATCCAAGCTTTTTATGAAACATATCTGCTATAAAAACTAATAAAGTCAGTTTAATTAACGTAATGTTTATCCTGGCCTTTCATGAGACATTTTACAAAGCTTTCAAAGTTCAAATTGTGGGTGTAAATGAATTTACATTCTATGATTATTGCTCATTGTCATTCCTGCCAAAGTTCTAATGACACTCAGCTACTACCACACCAAATCTGATCTCCTTAACTGTAAAAATGACATTTGTAGCTGTTTACATGTTTGCTTAAGTTGAAAACTCTGCTGGTTAATAGGTTTTTTACATGACCGGACACTTTTCATGGCAGCTGGCAACAATAACTGTGTACCTGAGTGGAACCAGTTAAAATATATTTGACCCGTCTGTTTCCTGTCCTTCAGAGTGACCTGTGGTCCTGTGGGATCACAGCCATTGAGATGGCTGAAGGAGCTCCCCGTAAGTACATTTACATTTTTACAGGCAGGATGTAAAACCTTTGCAAAGTTTTAGCTTTGAGAGTTTGTGGAGACGTTTGATTGTGGGAACGTTTAAACAAGAAAAAACTGTTGTCTTTTAGTCCAGAGCTTCTTAACCTTTGTGACCTCAGGGCCCAGTTTGTTGAACATAAAGTGACACGAGGTCCAGTAAGACTTTACCAATGTATGGATCAAAATGATAATTATTATAAAGCTTGGTTTCATTTTTATTGTATTTACATTAAACTAAACTATCATAACTAACATAACTAAATTAAACACATTCATTATATAAACATTTTTATATTGTAACCTGCCCATAACAATTATTTGAACAAATACAAAGATCAGTCAACAGACCACTCAGGCTTATC